AGTAGGCATGTGACTGGGGGAGTTAGAGCTGCCCAGCGGCCAGTGACAGAAGGACACGTAGTGAGGAATCAAGAGTCGCCGAGCCCAGAGGCCAGTAAGAAAAGGACCAGGTAAGATAGGGAGATAGCAATTCAGCCGAAGAAAAAGATAGCCAGCTAAGTGAGAAATCGTATTTGTGTGAATTCCCAATCAGTGTCTTTAAAAACACTTGAAAGCGATCACAACCAACAAGACAAACCTGTGCGCATAGCGAGTTGGGCGAATATTCAGATACAATCAACCTTGGATGCCATCACAGGTGCAGTGAACGACGGGCGATCGGAGAACGTCGTCACAATTTTGACGATAAAACTTTGTTTTTATTAATTCTGGGGCATTTTTTTTTTATCACGGTATGCTCATTGTTTAGCGAATCAGTGGCAGTACCTACCTAACAGGGTTGGAGAGAACATCACCGAATTCCAGGTCGAAATCAACAACAGATCCCAGTCTTTGTAAAATCACGAGAATAACAGAAAATATGAATAGCGATTTGACAGGAATAATTAAGGAAGCGGAAATAAAGGGAATACAAACGAAAATAACAATCCGAAACACTCAGATCAACAACTGAACTGACGAAAATTGGAAAATAGACACAAAATGTTCGAAATCCTTTGAAGGTTACCAGGGTCGGCAAGCACCTGATTTATAAACCGAAGGACACAACTGCCGATAAAGCGTGTAAATATATAAAAGGTATTTAGAATATTTACATTAAATACGATTTCTATTTGAGGTCATTTTAATATCTGAATCATTTAATTATGTACAAGTATTGCTAAATGATATTAATCATCTAAATAGGACAACTTTAATGTAGGTTTAAATATAAACAGAAATAAAACAAAACTGATGTTCAATTGTAACGTTCTGAAAAGAGCATATGAAGAGCAGACGAAGAGCTAGTAGTAGTCCCGAAATACATTTATTTAGGGCAGGTGATAACATTAAAGAATGACACAAATAAAACAACGTATAAAGATTGGCGGACATAATGAAAAGCACCTTACTAATATGTCGAAAAATGTGAAATAGACAAATATCATGGATGGTACACAAAGTAAGAAGTAAGGTTAACTAAATAAAAGGCTGTGTAATTGGTGCTCAATAAATAACAAATGTAGTACCAGGCCAGACAGAAGATAGAGAAATGAAATAAAGGTGTTTGCTAATAAAACATGTGCTAAAAGTTTAAGATTTTAAACTATAGGGCATTAAAGCTGTTGCAGGGAAAGAACTGATATCTTTCAGCATACAAAGAACTGACACACCTCTATTAAATGGACTGTTCTAGTAGGAATAACAGCATATATGGTGTTCGGGCTGAGAGGAACCCAGACGAAGCTATCCCGAAGGGCAGAGTCTCGTCTGGGGAGGTAGACAAACCCGACCTCGTGTATGCGGGGTCTACGGGGAATTTTTGCCCGTGCCCATGAGTTCGGATCTCTCCCCACCACATAAAAATCGACCTTGTGCCACATCCTGCCTTGTGGGGAGGTCGGGTAAATACCACCTTGCTTTCCAGCTTCAGACGATCTTGTAAATATCTACTTGTATTGTTCTTGTTTAAAATAAACCCTTATACATTGTAAGTTGACGTTCTATGTATTATTTCAATAATCACCCCGGACAACATTACTAAAAAAAAAAAAAAAAAATTAAACATTAAAACATGCTGTAACTGATAATAACAATGTAAGAAACTGAATTCAGCGATGTTCAACGCTTATGTTTGTAGGAGCTGAAATTTTTCAATGTGCTTCACAAACCAGAACATGTTGAAATCATTTCCTGGGTAAAATGACATGCTTTCTTTCTTTTTTTTCTTCCTCGCACACTTTAAGTGGATTACATAAAATAATTTATCCAATGTATACAGAGAAATAATTTAAACCAAAATTTTGATTTTAAAAATTCTGTCCTTCTTAAGTAATAAAATAATTTATTAAGACATAAAAACACTATTAGGAAAGTTAATGACAAAGTGAAAAAAAGATATTTCTGTGATACGTTTCGTCTGACACAAAAATTTATTAAGTCCTAGAACTTCATTGGATTAAAGTGATGTTTCCGTTGATATAACTACACATGCACACGAATGGAAGGAGACGCTGGAATTTTAAACTTTTAAATCTAATTTTTTTAAAAAATTCTCTAATTGATGCTATCCTGCAATACGACGCCGGTTTTCGTACATATTTCTGTTCCTGAGTGTAATGTGTTTTCGCGAGTTTTTATATTTTTGAAAAACCACAAACGTAAAAGAAAATTATTAATTTACTACTGCACATATATTAGTAGTACTAATAAGAATTGCAAAAATTCATTTCCGATTACCAACATAACAATAATTACATCACTAAGCATTCTACGAGAGTAAACTGTGGATGCAGTTATCTCCCTTTTTAAGGAACTCTCTAAAAAGGGGTTAATTTTATATTTTCTGTATATTTTAAGTCAGTTGGTAAATAAACCTGTTACGTTGTACATCTCCTGTTCCATTCTCCTTTCTTCATGCTTCTTGTTATTATTCGACGGAAATGAAAAGAACTACGAACTGTGGGAAGTAAAATTTATGGGGTACCTCCACACGTTGAAATTAAAAAATGATCTCAAGAAAGAGGACATTGAACAGGAAAAGAATGAAGACATTTTTGCTGAGTTGATTCAAGTACTCGATGATAGAAATTTATCACTAGTGATGAGAAATGCAAAAGACAACGGACAAAAAGCGATACAAATTTTAAGAGAACACTACATGGGCCAAGGAAAACCTAAAATAATTTCGTTATATACGGAATTATCGACACTAACGAAAGAGCGGGAAGAGGATTTAACAGGCTACTCCGCGGTGAAAACACAGCAGCCTGAAGTAATTTATGTTTTAATACATTTAAAACTGTAATAACACAAAAGAACAAACAACTATTTCTACAGGAATTTAAATCTTCCTTACGTTCTTTCGACGAAAGTGAAGACACATATCGAAAAGAATATGTGATGAAAACATGTATAAGGAAAAACGCGCTCAAACCAGTCACTACGTGCTTCAAATGCAACAAAAATGGCCTCATGGCGAAAGATTGCCTACAAAACAGAAGATGGTGTGAATTTTGCCAATCAAAAACACGCGACAAAATTTTGTAGAAGAAAAAGAGACAATATTAACAAGGTTAAAGAAAATACAACTTTTTATTACAAGATAAGAGTAAATCTAAATACTAAACCAGTTAATTTTAAATTATTTGTTGATTGTGGAGCGACCACACATAAAAGATGAACGCAAATTTATAAAATTTGAAAACAATTTCGATCCAAATGTTAATTTTATAGAATTAGCAGAGGGATCAAGAAATAATAATATTGCCCTGAAAAAGAAATCTGTTTAATTAATGTTACGTGATGTGAAAGGTTATGAACATAGCATGCATTTAAATAACTTTCTCCGTGTTCCAAGCTTTAATCAGAATATCTTTTCTGTACAAGCTGCCTCTGAAAATGGAACTCTTAGAAAATTTTCACAAAATTCATCTTCACTAACCACTGGAAATGGAGTCGACTTTAAGATAAAGAAACATGGTCGACTATATTATTTAAATAAATGTGTAATAGGACACATAAAACAAACCAAATAATCTCAAAACGTGGCATAAAATATTGGATCACTGTGTAATAATATCCCGGACATTTTAAAACTACCAAGTGCTGCGAAAGGAATGATTATCACAGATAAAACAACTTTGTCACCATGTGAAATATGTACTCTAGGTAAAATGCCTGAATTCCCATCACGAGAACCTGAAGGAAAAGCAAAATTACCCTTAGAACTTGTACATTGTGATTTAACTGGCGGAGTAGAACCGACTAGCATGATTGATACAAATATGTTTTGACCTTTACAGATGATTATTCTGGATTTAAAATGTCATTTTTTGAAATCTAAAAGTAATACAGTAGAAGCCACTAAACAATTCTTGGCTGACTGTGCACCTTTTTGGAAAAATTAAAAGACTAAGATGTAACAACGGGTTTGAATTTATTTCAAAAGAATTCAAATTTCTTTTAACCGGACACAACATTAACCATGATTACCTCGGCGCCATATTCACCCCATCAAAATGGAACTGCTGAAACAAGGCGGCGAAAATTATTTGAAATGTCTCGATGTATGTTAATAGATGCAAAATTACCATGTTGATATAAAATATCACTTCATAAGAAACAAAATTTACGATGGTACAATATGTACCGACAGATAAGAATATTACAGACATTTTTACAGAATCTCTGTCAAAGACAAAGTTACAATTATTGGTAATAAAATTATTACTATCTAAAGTTTAAAGGAGGTGTTATAATAAACTACGGATGCAGTTATCTTCCTTTTTCAGAAACTCTCTAAAAAGGGGTTTTCTGTTTATTTTATCTGTTGTAAGTCAGTTGGTGAATAAACCTGTTACGCTTTATATCTCTTGTTCTATTCTCCTTCCTACATACTTCTTGTTATATGTCGACTTAGCACGTTAATCCAACGCATTCCCCATAATTTCCTTTCCATAACGTTGAAATCATTCAGATATTTTCGAATATTTTCGGATTTTAATTTGAACACATTACATTTCTCATCAATACATTTCTGCGAGTCTAACTGCAGGTTTTTTTATTAATAAATCTCTGCATTTTGTCTTTGAAGTTCATGAAGTAACGAAATGTGTTGCAAAAATAAGTTTTCCTATTTTGTAAATTCAATTTATTAATGTTGTCTTCCATATATATTCATTTATATCCCGATTTTCATTTATAAATATACAAATATAATATGCCTACCTAGGAAAGGTATTTTTCGATCTTAATTCATGCAAGTTATTACAAAGATATCAAAATTGCAAACCTCATTCAAATCGAACTCATGGAGATTTATCATAAGTACTGAGATTATGTAAGAAAATCGAATTTACCTTTCAATGGTTTCTTCTCGTTACACTTTTCATATGGACGGTTTATACTTCCTTGACTGTTTCCGCTAAAGACATTTAAAATAAAAACAAGATTGTTTAATTACCTCGTTCATTAGACAATTTTTTAAGATAACTGATTAAATAACTGGTTATTTTTATTCTTGTAACTAAATAGTATGAAATGAAATGTATTATTAGCAACAAAAGCAGCATTTGATTACCATAAAACACGTTTTTTTCAGCAATGTGGAGTATAATTTTTTTTTTCTATTTGATAAGTTTATAGATATGTGACTTACTTCTCCCAATAATAGGACCTATATTTAAAGCCAAACCTATAAAACAAGATACCAAGTTAAATTCAATATTTTAGTTGCGAATAATAATAATGTATTTGAAGTACTGAGGAATAATGACGGGGAAACAAACGTGTTATTATTAACCGAACAAGATGAGGAATTATACGTTTGAAGTTGTCAGTAACTTATTTCAGGAAAAGGAATCAAACATTTAAAGTTCGTAGTTTTGATGAATTTTCAAGAAGAGAAAATGTACATATTTAAAGTAATATTCCAAAATAGGTATAACCATGAGATCGCTAAAAAAATGCGCATAGTCTGATGAAAAAGACGCCAAACTTGATGAAAACAAAATTTTATCGTCTAATTGTTTATCTTATTATTAAGAGGAAAGAACAAAATAATTTTTAATTATTTTAAATTTTTTTTCTAGAACATTCTAACTTTCGATTGAAAAACCTTGTTTCTCGTCATCACCGTAACTCTAGTAAATAACATGGCGAATTTTTGTGCATTTTTTTATGACAGACATTAATTTTGAAAATCTTGCAAAAATAGAAATAATTCCCAGATTTTAATTAAACTTTTAGAAACTATTCAGGAATGATGGAAATTATTATAGAATTATTTTTTTTAAAGTCGTTATAAAAATATATTTTTATATATATATTGCACCCCCATTAATAATTTAATGAAAACTCTAAAAATTCAATGTCGAAGCAGGCAAATCATTATATTAGTTAAAAAAACAAGGCTTTGAGGAAAGTAAATCAGGTTTTGTTTTTTTCAAAAATCCGACCTCGTCTACCTAAAATCAGCTCAGAATTGTAACATACAAAACGCAATAAAACAAAGATACTATTTAATTTTAAATGCTTTTAGTTGCTTTTATTTGTTTTTATGAATATGCATAATATTGTCTGAAGGCAAAAAAATCTTTTTCGATGAAAAATGAATTTTCAAAAGAATTAATTGTTATTTTATAAATTATTTTATTTTTACATTAAAATTGTTAAATATTGTAAAATTAGTGGAAATGTCGAATTTTGTATTTAATGTTTTTTTTTAAGTACATGTATCTGTACAGATTATAAATTGCACAAGCCTTTTGCAATCAACGAACTAACAATTACAAAAATCTAACTGTTGCTTGCCTTTTGTGTCAACAAAAACAGTTATAATTCAAATGTACGGAAGCCCTGAAGAAATATAATACAATAAAAACATCACGTGACTTGATTTTGTATATAATGACTTGCGTGCTTCAACATTGAATTTCTAGAGTTTTCATTAAATTATTTAGCGGGGATATATATATATATATATATATATATATATATATATATTGAATAAAAATAAAAAACAGACCACTTTAAGGTTCCATGTAATAAATTATTTCACCACAATCCTTTTAAAGGGTTCTGGATCATCAGACTTTACTTCCAAAGGTTGAAATGAAAAATGAAAAAAAAATTACACATTTTTGACGGGCCGTATTAAGCATATGTAAATTAACGAAGTGAGGAAGTGAGGGGGGAGAGAAGTGAGTGAGTTTCAATTCTTTATCCCTAACCCCACTTGGTTTGGGCCTGACAAACGCTTCACTTAACTTATGTTATCTTTAGATATGGATGGGTAAGTGGTGAAGAGGAAAGCCAACATAAAAGGAAGAAGATACAATAAACCAATCCTGATGAGAGAAGGTTTCACTCAATTTCTTGGACTCTGTTATTTCGCATTACTTTAAAGGGTATATTTGGGGGTTAAAGTTTGATATAAATCTAAATGTCTACAAAATCTACGAAGAATTTAATTTGATGTTTGTTGAAGTTTTGGGTATTTTCTATGAAATAGTCGATTGGAAAAAAATTCATAGAGAGTACATTGAAAGAATAATTCATTTTACATCTAGTAATCTTTTTTATTTTTATTTTTTTAATATTTTCCTAAGCTTTTTTCTTGTTGATTATTAAGTTGACATCTATTCGTTTGAGTTTTGTTCATAAATTAAACTCGTGACTTTTTTAGGTACCTACATAATTATCAAAGGTTATTCCAATTTCAATAATTTTATCATCAATAATGATTATTAAAGGGTAATATATTTCAATTTAAATTAAGTTATCAATTTAAAATTTACCTCCGTATTATTTAGACTCACTTGAGAGAAGGTTTCATTCAAATTCTTAGACTCTGTTATTTCGCATTACTTTAAAGGGTATATTTGGGGGTTAAAGTTTGGTATAAATCTAAATGTCTAAAAAATCTACGACGAATTTAATTTGATGTTTGTTGGAGTTTTGGGTATTTTCTATGAAATAGTCGATTGGAAAAATTCATAGAGAGTACATTGAAAGAATAATTCATTTTACACCTAGTAATCTTTTTTATTTTCCTAAACTTTTTTCTTGTTGATTAGTAAGTTGTCATCTATTCGTTTGTGTTTTGTTCATAAATTAAACTCGTGACTGTTTTTAGATACCTACACAATTATCAAAGGTTATTCCAATTTAAATAATTTTATCATCAATAATGATTATTAAAGGGTAATATATTTCAATTTAAATTAAGTTATCAATTTAAAATTTACCTCCGTATTATTTGAACTCACTTCAATTGGAGAATATTAGAGGAGAAGTTTGGATGAAACATTACTAACAGAAAATTAGGTCCTTCTTTTATAATATTCTATATATCCATACACATACACACCTCTACACATATCCGAACACCTATCTATATCCACATACATACATATCTCTATATACCTATAAATCCATATACACACACATCCACACAAAACTATATGTATATACCCATACATACACATATACACCTGTAGAAAGACACATTCACACATATATACATACATATCCATACATACATATATATACTTACATATATACACACATATATAATTATATGTATATCTATATATATATATACACATATATACACACATACAAGCACCCATACATGCACATCTATACATATACACATATACTCGTACACACACATATACATATACAAATATAGCCACATATACACATACACACACATACATATATATATATACATATACACACATACACCCACATATGCATGCATTCAAAGAACATATCAATATCAATACGTCATTACATTATGAATACACAAAATCCTATAATTATACATATATATATATATATACATATATTACCCATCATCCCATATCTGTGGCAATACATATAAGTACCCATCTAATTATACACATCCACACTCACATATACATTAAAAAAAAACAAAAAAAAACATATAAGAACATATACATGTACATATTAAAAGACGTATCAGTGTTCAAGTACAATACCATAGTTATACACACGCAGTCATGTGTTCGCGTTCATGCGTGTATAGCAACATTTCCAAAAGCAAAAAGAACAAAGGTCATTCAATATTATTTTTCCTATATGGTTATTTCTTAATGTATTTTCTTAGGTTTAGGTTGTTCTTATGTCGGCATTTAAAAATTAGTTCATTATGTCTATTTAGTAATAAATCTGGATCTTTGTGTTTGATCATGAGGATTTTTTCTTTTATGCTAAGTGGGGTTAGGGATAAAGAATTGAAATGGTACATCTAAGTCACTCATGTCTTTTCTCCCCCCTCACTTCCTCACTTCGTTAATTTACATATGCTTAATACGGCCCGTCAAAAATGTGTAAATTTCTTTTCATTTTTCATTTCAACTTTTGGAAGTAAAGTCTGATGATCCGCAGTCCTTTAAAAGGGCTGTGGTGAAATAATTTATTACATGGAACCTTAAAGTGGTCTGTTTTTTATTCAAACATATTTGCTCTGAATTTACATTGAGCTCTCCGGATATCATCCTCCTTGGATCTACCCATGCGGATTACCTAGTTTTGCATAAACTATATATATATATATATATATATATATATATATATATATATATATATATATATATATAAAATAACTAAAAAAAAACATTTATAATAATTTATATCATTCCTGAATAGTTTCTGAAAGTTTAAAGACAGAAATTTTTTCAAAAATAATAAAAAATTACTTTGTTCCTTCCCCTTAAATGTAACATAACCATTTTGACGATAAAATTCTGCTTTCGTCAAGTTTAAGGCCATTTTTATCATGCTATACCTACTTAAAAATAACGAGGTAAATAAGTTGTTCACGTAAAGGTAAACGTCACTTATGACCTTCCGTACTATAAATTTCCTCACGTAAGATGTCACTCGTCAATCAACACCGCTGTTAAGAAGACCGACTTTCTTTCATTTGAAAGAACATTTTTTCAGCGCAGAAAGTAAGTAATCTTTGTTTTAAAAGTATATTAAATAAAATTTATAATTTTTAATTTTCTTAAGTTAATTTAAAAAAAAATCATAATTGAATTATTAATGAATTTTAAACGGAGCCTTTCACTTTTGTAAACAAAAGTTTAAAAAGTGGCCGACGATTGGTTTTCTGTAAATTTTGCTGATTCAAAAAAATTCAAGATTTTTAACGAAAATTTTTTGAAAAAATATAAAAAAAATATTTAAAAAATACTTTGATCTTTCCTCTTGATAATAACATTAACATTTAGACGATAAAAAATTATTTTCATCAAGTTTAAGGCCTTTTTTTATTCATAGTATGCTATTTTTTATGGATCTCATGAACGTACCTATTCCAAAATATTTAAAAATTGAGAGAGTTCGTTTTTCACATAAAAGTTATATCGTTGCATTCAACATGAATGAAAAGATATATTTTAAGGTACTTAGCTTTGGAGATGAATAGAGTTAACTGAAATTATCCTGCTCTCATTAGAGGCTGATAATGTATTAGCGTGTAATTTGACACCGGCGTTAAATTTTCGCACAGGCTCGCGAATTTGGGAACAGTGAAGAAGAGTTATTTTTATTTCGTATTCACCACAAACTCTTGTCTATCAAGGATTATTTTTTAGTTGAGAACAGACCTTTATGCTAAACGCTTGTCACGGAAATTTAGAAACAATTTCCTTACACAAATATTCGAGAGTAAATTGGCCGAGAGTTTGAATCTTGGCTATATAATACATCCATACAGAAAAATACAGCGGTCCCTAACCATTTTCTGTCACTGGGCGGTGTCATGCAAGAAAACTTTACCTTAGATCGGGGCAAAGGGGCTTATCGGTGTCGGTTACGCGGATAACAAAACACAATGAACAATGAAATACATATTGGGATAATTTTATTTTTAATTTGATTGTTACACTTATACTGCTAAACGTGACTCAACATAATTCAGAATCAGTAGGAACCCTGATCTTGTTTTCCGAAAACCAGACAGTTCCATCTAGGAAAATCCGCTTCAGGAAGATAGGATGTTGGAAATGGAAGGGGGGTTTTTCAGTGCTTTTATGGCGATCTCAGCATATTCTGCCTTGACTTGAATCAGAACATTGGGAGATTTGAAGTTTAAAATATACTTTTTAAGATCACCATTATTTACCAAGCTCAAACAGTTAGTCTTCTACCAGCACGGATTCACCCGGCTTGTTCATAAATGGATTGGGATCCATTTCTTCCTTTTTCGCGGATCTTTTGATGTTGGAAAATAATGTTCAAACTCTTTTAAAACCTGAGACAGGTTATCAACCAGCAGATGGGAGAATGGAGGCCCAGGCTCAGTGTCTTACAAAATCCCTGCTAACGTTTGAAACATGTCAAATACCGCTATTTTCACTCGGCGTCCCCACACTTCCAGCTTTGCTTTGAAAGCAACCACTTTATCTGCCAACTTGAAGACAGTTGTCATTCTCCCCTAAAGTGACAGATTGAATTCGTTGGGTAGCTTGAATATGTCACACAAATAAGCAACATCTACTAATGAAAAACGTTGCAAGTAGTGACTGTTTTTCTAAAAAAGAAATTTATGAAGCGGCTCTCGTAAATCAAAATCTCTAGCCAGCGATCTACCTTTAGAAAGCCATCTCACTGGTGCATATAAGAGAAGACGTTTGTGCTCCGGGTCTATCTCCTGACAGAGCTGTTCCAAACCACTGTTAAGTTCAAGCGACATTTTTTCGGCTAGCCAGTATTTCTCTATGAATGACACAGTACATAGAATCACATTCAAACACAACCTGTTTGACCCGAGTAGTGAAACCAGAAAGTCGTCCAATCATGGTTATTTTGTGTCGGTGTATGGACGAACTCTCCGTTCGTGCATACACCGACACAAAATAACCAGTTTAATTTTCTTGATATGTAATCATCCAAAGACTTGAATATTTCTGTAGTTGGGGTGCTGGTTAGCAATAATAATGTACATAACTTATCCTTATGCAAATCCTCCTAGAAAATATATTGCAGAAAAAAGAGCATTATAACCTTGATGCCAACGTTGGCAAACTCGTCAATATGAATTGCATACAACGGTGACACATTAATCCTCTCTAACAATCTAGGCGAGCTCTGTGGTCTCCCCGCCACACCAAAAAAAAAAAAACAAACTTTGATACGGTCTCCCTCCCTACGACATGTCGATTTCAAAGTTTCCCAACCTCGAGATACAAATTCTCGAAGGACAATTGGGAGGGGAGGGTTGTAGCGCCTTTTTTGAATTGCCAAAAATCAGGGAATTTCCAATTTAAATAAATATTTCAGTACATATTCATTAATTATTTGCTTTTATAATGAATAATTTTTTAATCTGAGAAAATGTTATTCTTTTTGTAATAACCACCAATATTTTTACTCGGAAAAAGTCGCATTTTTTTTTACATTTCCATAAAGATTAATCGCCGACGCATTTCCGCTGAAAGGAAGTTTTACAAAGATTCCAACACAACACAAAAGGGATTGTTTTAAAAAATTGTTTTAAAAACAGTATTTCAGTTTTCTGAAAATTTTTTCATTTACTGAAATCTTTTAAACATTTTTTATTTTTTAGATAATTTTCTCGGTTTTATCTTTCTAGAAATGCAAAAATTAGGGACTAAAAATTTCATTTTAATTACTAGACGTGGACTTCTGGTTAGTATTACTATTAGAAAAAACATCAGAGATCCTCCTTAGTGGATGATCTTGGAATAAAAAATGATTTTACCGAGATATATTAACGTCTTAATTGATTTAAAAGAACTGTTCAGAAAGAAAATTACAATTAAAAAAAAAATAAGCTCTGCTGAAATTTGCACTACTGTGATGCGATTGAGAGTTTTAGAGTAGTAAGCATAGGTACCTCCACGAGATTGCTAAAAAATGAGCATAGCATGATGAAAAAGACGCCAAACTTGACGAAAACAAAATTTTATCGTCTAAATGTTTATGTTACTATTAAGAGGAAAGATCAAAGTATTTTGGAGGTATTTTTTTACATTTTTAATCGTTCCTAGCACGTCCGAAATTTTCGTTAAAAATCTTGTTTTTTTTGAGTCAACAAAATTGACCATTTTTTCCATTTTATAAAAAACTGAAATCTCAGTTTGAAATTCTTTTAAATATCAATTATCATTTTTTCAAAACTTATTTTAAGAAAACTAGAAATTATAATGTTTATTTAAAATATTTTGAACCAAGCTTAACTTAGCTTCTACGCCGAAAAGATGTAATTTGAAAATAAAACAAAGCATGTCATAAACTTTCGCGTCACTTGACAGGTGATGAATGACATATTGACGGATTCCGTGAGGCTAGTTTGTTCTACGAAAGGAGAAAAGTGAAATAATTTACATTTAAGTGAACAAATTATTTACCTCGTTATTTTTAAGGAAAACTTTCAGCGCTCTAAGTTTTTTTTTGTACTTAGCTTTCACCTTTACGTTTATGATGCTTTATGGAAATATATTATAAAGAAATTAAAGTAAGACTGTTAAGAGTGAGATTAAATTTCATATTTCATAAGAAAGGTATATAATTAATTTATTTTCAATACCTTTCTTATGAAATTTTATCAGAAGTGTACATGAAATACTATAATTTTATGTACATTTTTTTACATTTTACTGTGTTATTTGTATTTCCATTTATTTTTATTATTAACAATAATTAAATATTTAGCATTTTCCAACCAACGGGTCGCGTTCCCGCCAAAAAAAAAAAAAGAAAAAAAAATGTTCTGTGACCATTTGAATGGTATTTAAGCATTGTTCCTAGATGTACAAAGCAGTAAGGAGAGACAACGGTAACAGGTCACGACGTTGGGCTTTAAAGAAATTTCCTTACACATTCACCCGTCCTCCTCACCATGCTACAGGACACTTAAACTTTCCTCCTCACTTACACCTTTGGCTCTCCTTTCGAAGAAATCACATTTCTTTTAATCTTGGAAAACAACTGCAAACAAAGGCCTGTGGGAACTTTAACACTCATACACACTATGAAAACATTTGTTGTAAAATACACGAAAATAAAAATATTTTATATTTTTATATTTAAACACTCCTCCCTTCTCCCTTTTCTTTGCTATAGGTTGATTCAAATCCACAACAGAGCGCAACAGAGAATATTTGTGATTTTGTTTTGTCTTTAATCAATTTTATAGTTGAAAATTATTGTTTATATCAGTAGGTTGAAATGGTTGATTCAGAGCAAAATATCTTAGTTTTTGGGATCACAAGAAATTAACGTTAAAAGCTTATCTATTTTCATCTTTCAAGTTAACAAGATTATTCTGTATATTACTAGGTATTTCCATAATGTTTTCGCTTAATAAGTGAAAATTGTTGTATAAATGCAAGTATGAAATTTCTGATTTAGCATTTTTAGTTGAATCAGCCATCTCAATGATTTAAATTACAGAGCAAGAATAATTTGTTCATAGCTTAGTAAGTAATATCAATGCAGTCAAGATAAAATTGAATCTTCATTTCATAATTGGAAAAAATGAGGATTTGTGCCGGATTCGACACTTTTATTTTCTCTTACTGATCTTTTGTAGTTTGATGGATAATTTAATAATAATAAAAAAAAAAAAGATACACATATTCTTGCCATTTCCAGATATTATTTAAAACTGAACCATAAAACTACTGATCCTGCTCACAGAATTGATAAAGTTGAAGGAAATGAAATGACATGGCCAGAACTGTTTGAAGTGTGGTGCTTTGTTACTTAAAATAAAGCACAGAATTTGCACGTTAAAAGCTAAGGTAAAATATAACCTGACCACCAACATTTGAAAAAAACTTTCAGAAGACCTACAAGCATTGAAAGATACCATATGTAGAACATTACCAGTACTGTATATAAGCTTGAAAAAATTAAAATTCTTAAGATGTTAAAAGGATATATTCCAAGACAAGGAAACAAAAGAAAAAAGAGAGAAACTTTTGGAAAAATGACCTAAACTGGAAATGATCTCAATGAATAAATGAAGCAGAAGTCCGTAACGTACGCGAGTCAATTGTAAAGTAATTGGCAAAAATCACTTAGATCTAATGCGCTACATTAAATCACGCTGTGCACCCCTTTTTGATGCATGCATTACAAGTTGGCTATCGTTGCTCGCAAAACTGCTCGCACGTGCATAATATTTGACTTGATATGCACAACATATGCAACTCTGTTAAAAAAAGAAAGAAAGAAAAGAAACAGGACAAAATTGGGTGGATGAAACTTGAAATCTTCCTACCTTGGGCCATAATTACAAACGTATATAGGGAAATCTTTGCATTTAGCATATCCACAGCCAATCGCTGAACTTGTTCCCCATACCAGCTGTTAGAAAGAAAAAACGAAAGGAAATTTAAGAATTAATGAAAATTAGCATTTTGATTCGAAAAATATTTCATATTGCAGAAATTGCTTCTTTATAATGTTTAAAAAAGATGATACAACTCTCTGCAGAGAAATCAGAATAACACATTTCTGAACGCAATATTAGTTCTTATTTTATACTCGTTTGTTAAAATTTTAGAGGAAATCTTACAAAATACTCTCATTTCCATATTGTCAATATAACTGGTAATAGGATAAGGAAGGTCGTACTTACACCTTTTACAATCGCACTGATGAAATTTGAATTCAGATATCTGTTTTTAGTGGTTATTTGCTGATTATGCTACTTTCAACTTCAAGGTGATCATATGTTCATTATTTTTTCAATAAAAATCTCATATAGATATTACAAATATTTTATATGCATACAGATCATTTGATTGTAGGAATGCAATGAGATTATCAGATCCAAATTCCAAAACGTCTTATTGCCATTCTGTTTTGAAATTTAGTCTTCAAAGCTTGGATTTAGGCTCGAGATGCTAATATCCGCATCAGATCCAAATTCCAAAACGTTATTTACGATTATCCTTACAAGCTCCTAACCTTTTGAACATTGTGGCAACATTTCAAGCAAAGTGACAGGTACTACAAGTAGATATAAATTTCTTGAACTAATTCAAGTTTGGTCCAAGCATTTCCACTCCTCAACACATGAGGAAATGAAATGGCATAATTTCTTACCTGTGTATAATGTCCAACTTTTGCAAAGGTGACTGTTCCGTTGTAAATGAAATCTTTCTTCTCATTGTACCAAGCGGCAATACAATCTGACCAACTGCCGAATCCCTTTCCTAAGTTCTGTCCAGCCGCGAAGTCTCCTGTCAACATGAAAAGAAAAACGTTTCATTGAACAACTTATATTGTAATTGCAATTCATCCAAAGGCTTCACTTCAACTTCGGAGCTCTGTTATAATTCATGATAATGATAATATTTTATCATTCTAGAAATAAAGTTCTGAAATTTCATCATTCTAAAAACAACCTGTCCACCAGTGACAATAGATGATGTTGATGTTGATGATATTTCGTCATTCTAGAAATCAAGATCTAAGATTTAATCACTATAAAAACAACCTTTCCATCACAAGTAGGGTGGTAGTAGTAAAACGAACAACACAGACGTATCTTCTTCGCTCTGATAAAATCCAGAATTGACTGTTTTAAAAGCTTCCCTTAACCACAGAATTCTCAGAACAATTATAAACAAGTAAGCCGAAACTTTTAAAGAAACAAAAAGAGACAAATAACAAAATAATAAAGAACATTTAACACACACAAAACTAATACTGTAACTAACATTACGAACAGAAAAATAGACATTTTTGTCATTAATTGTCTCAAAATCTCATTGTTGTACGTTTTATTTATTTCATTTTCAGTATTTTTCAGTAAGAAAAAAAGAATCTTCTATCAACTAAAAATACATATAACACGGGCTAACATATATTAACACAACTCAACGTCAACACCATTACACTTGGAAATTTTTAAACGATATCTGAATTTAAAATGATAAAAGATTTTTAAAAATTTATTTCAGAGGAAGTGAATACCATAAGCATCAAAATAGAGTAAGTGTTCAAAGAAAGTTCAACTAAGTTTAATATGAACCAAATTTTATCTTTTTATAACAGTACATGAAAGTAATTTGTCATAGTTTATTGAAAATAAACAATACATCTAAAATAAAAAAAATTGATCCGCCTTAGTGGTTTATCGATATAAAATTTTACTTGATTTTGTCAGCCAGGTAACTCATATTTTCAGGTAGAATTCGATTAAAATCAAGGATACATGCACAGATTCGATACTTCTCTTTCATCTGCGCCGTGAGAACGAACAGTCTTGATTACTAAAATACATTGCCACAAAATGAAACCGTTGATCGACAAAAGGAAGTTATAACTATTTCATTTAGTACAATGTTCAATATTTTATTAGTTCTCTACTTATTACTGACAAATGAGAGAAAGAAAATTTGTGGTTTGTTTCCCACCAGAAGATAGAATATGTGCTGTAAAATTCGAAACACTGTGATTCAGTTCTACCAATGTACTGGCAATATGCAGCCATGCATAGATTTTTATTCTGGTTAGTATATCGTTGTGACGATGGATTTCAGTATAAATTGTGACCAACACACACACACACACACACACACACACACACACACACACACACACACACACACACAATGCTCCAATGCGCCAGCAGATCGCAGCTGGTTCACTTACATGCCAGAACACTTACATGAAATTTAACCTAGAGAGTTGTTAAAATGAGTCATAGACGTAGTGTTTAAATCCTATTTAACAAATAAATTATATTTATTTTTAGTTTTTTTTTTGCCAAGCCGAAATAAAAAGAAAATCTTTATCCCTACTTATGTATCAGAGAAATAATGCGGGAGGTTGATGTATCTTTGACGAAACCCATTTCTCAACTTTTGATCAAATGATCAGTTAAAATTTCTTTCAATAAGCTATTTGGGAATCAAGAACATTTCTGAAACCTCTTATACAAAATATCCCAGTTAATTGTTGAGGCAATATTAAAAGTCTTTATATAGTGCATGTACACATGAATTACACATCTGTCTTACCTGGGATATATCGGGCTAAAAATTTGTCATGACTGAATTTACAGTTTTGCGCCCATTTCTGAGCAACATAAGCCAAATTGTCATTCCAGTACTGAAAAAAAAAAAAAAAAAAAAAAAAAATCGAATAAAGTAAAAAAATAAATAAAATAGTAAAAGAAACAAAACAAAAAACAAACGGCAAAAACAATACAAACAAATCGCTTATAACTACTGGTGCGATCTCTCTGTCTGTTTGTCTATCTCTGTCTGCCTGCCTGTCTGTCTCTCTCTCTCTCTCTTTCTCTCTCTCTCTATATATATATGTTTTAATTTTGCGATATTTATAGAGGGATATTCTCAGTACGGAGGTAGAATCCATGTAAACATAAAAAGTGTCGGCATAGAACACAGTTCTACACGGGGATTGCCAGTTTCTCATTATGCAATCATCGGACCATGTGGTTTTCCTCATAGACTCTCTTTATATCGTCCATTGGGAGCTTATGGGTAAAAGCTGCGGAGGAAACCGGTGTTTTTAGTGACTTGTTTAAGATTAATGTTTTCAGATTGTTTATAATCTTGACATTGAGTTAATCTATTTATTTTAAATTTTATTTATGTAGTTTTAGGGAGCATAATAGGAACTGTTTTTCATGAATATATTTGAAAATGAGCGCTAAAATTAATATTATTTTAGAAAGGTGGCTATTGTGATTTTCACCTCTAAACAAAGGCTGCATGTTTTTGAGGCAAACTAGTGCTGTTTTTCTGATTTTCCATGTTATTTTTTCATGTGTTTTAGTCTGTATTTTTGAAGTTCCATAAGTGTTTTGAGATGTCTGCGCTAAACAAAAATCGTATACTGGTCAATGATCGAAAAAACCATATATCCACATATACAGAACACTTAGTAAAAAAAGAAATAGTCTTACCACTTTCAACATATTACAAGCTGGGGGGTCCACTGAGGCCCTGTACTTATTATGTTCATTCAAAATAAGATTTATGTCCTCTTTAGAGATGCCTACAATGTAGAAGTCACGTATTTAATTTTAATCATAGTTCCCAATGATATTTTGTTGTTTTTGACGCAATCTTATATTAAATACAGAAAATTGATTGAAAAGTAAGAAGTTGGAAGAGAATTCCACAAGTGTGAGAGAAGAAACTCCTAACATAGAAGTTACGGCACATCTAACAATTGTAAAATGATTTGACGTAGCTGCCAATCAAGTACTGCGCTTAAATTAATAAAGTCGCTGTGCCAAAGAGGAAAGTTCATCAGGACAATTACAATGAAAATCTTTATAGAAAAGGCACAGGAAGCTACGTTATGGTATTGGAAAAGTGACTGAAACTGGGATATCATAACATCGTAGATTCTTCTTTGGATTTTATCAAGAATCTCTAAATACATAGCAGAAGTACCAGACCAGATGTGATAACAATAACCAATGCAGGTAAACTTATAAACATTTATGATAGATTCTGGAGAGAAAAATCGTCTAGAATAGTGAACCAACTTTCATAGCAATTGATTCAATACGACAATTTTATCAAACCGTGATTTGATAAAAGATTTTGTTATTGTAAAGTCAACAATAATTAAAAATGGTCTCATAATATATATTTATATATCTGACAATAATCTTATACTATTTATTAGATATATACATATTATTTTCATATTTATAGGTTGATTTCTATAATTCATCATTTAAACAGAGATTATAATAATAGTAACAATAAGTGGTCCATTTGATGAAATTTTAGTGTTCTACATTAATGTAATAATAATTTATTTGTGATCTAATTACATTGATTAAAAAGATTCCAATACATTTCCTACGTAACAGTACCGCGATCGACAAAATCTGTAATAAAGGGGATCACAGAGCCTTGATATTTTTCTGACTCCTGATTGGTCAATTAATGCTAATATCATGTTTTCCACTACGTCTGCGTGGTAAAAATTAATCTACTGCCCGAAATCTGTCTATGCGTTTCGAGCTTATCACGTGACATACAACATTATAAATACCAGCGACGTTTTCAACTCTTCCTCTTTTGCCTTCTCTCACACATACCAGATATAACGTTAGAGAGATTACGTTTGTCCCTTTCGGGGAAACGCTGTGACACACGCACAAGCGTACGTACGAACATTGCACATCTCAGAACCCATCTCGTTCACTCCTTACACAGAAATGTATTCAACTTCTAACAGTGATATTTTCTTCAGCAACAAACATAACTCTTACCAGTTTTTCACCAGCGAGAAATAGTACTTCAAAATCTTCTTGAGCTAAAAGTTTTTATCAACATAATCTCAGCTTTCCAAAATTCTCTCACTCATATTCATCTCTCTCCAGTGAACAATTTAAGCGACAAGTTAATTCAACTTTTCGGTATTTAAGCGAAGATTACATTTTCCCTCAATCAACAAGTTTCTTTGAACTCATCTCACACCGAACTTCAGCCTACAACACCTTATCGAAGAACATTTCTTTCATTGAGACTGAACATTATTTCATGAACTGAAATCTTTTCTATGAGTCAAGATAAAAAAAAATATATCTTCCTTAAAGTCTTAACTAATTCAAATAACAGTTAAAAGGAAATAACTCCTGCTATTAATTACAACTCTTACTATATAAAAATCACACACTTTATTGCTTTGTATGTCATACAGTAAATTGAAGATTATTATAAAAACAGTTTTTGTGTTGTTTCTCTTGTTTGCTTTTCGTTTGCTGACACATTTGTAAAGTAAAAAATGTATTGAATTGAGGCCGTTCAAACCGCTACAAAGTCTTTATCCCGATATCTAGTGTAAAATATACATGTGTGCGTGTGGTATTTTATTTATTAACTGTGGTGGGTATTTTATTTATTAACTTTAACTAAATTAAGTGATCTAATTTTTTGTTAATATTACTTTTCAACTCTTGGGATAACCTTAAGAGAGGTTTTAAAAATTTAGTAAGTCCCCTTGGCTTGGAAAGGGTCTACAGCAACCTTCTTAGTGATGGTGTCTCGATAAAATCGTACACCCTCCAGTGCTGTAAACAGATTAATAGGAGTTGATAGATTCACCTATCACCCACCAGTACTCTTTCCAAGTTTATTGAACGAGAGTAGAGGCTTATCCATTGTTTCCTGTACAGGATATGGTTTACGGGTTCTTTCCTATCATGGTCTTAATGATTTAACTGACTTAACTTTTTAGTGATTAGTGGCTTAGGCTTCTCACTATGAGAGTACCGAGTTGGTAGTTTTCTGGTTGTTAGTAATAAAGCGCCAGAATTCTTTGGTAGTGTTTAGAGAAGTTTCGCTGATCAACAGTTGCTTAATATGAGATGGAATAAATACATCGAGTCAATTGCCTCGTCCACTGCAAGGAAAGTTGGCTCCCTGAGCCGCGCTAGGAAGTTTTTCTCCCCAAAGTCGATCCTCCAGATCTACAAATCCACAATTCGCCCTTGCATGGAGTATTGCTGCCATATATGGCCTGGTGCTCCTTCTGTTTGCCTCGGGGTTCTTGATAGGCTCCAGAGGCGGATATGCAATAATGGTTGGCCCTGCCCTGGCATCTCATCTACAGTCACTTTCTCACAGACGCGCCGTCGCCTCCCTCTGTCTGTTCTACAAATACTTTCATGGAAATTGCTCCGAGGAGCTGCATTCGCTGGTTCCCAGACGTCATGAGTTCCAGCGCCCTACGAGGCTGGCATCCCGCTCTCACCCCTTCACTATCGAAACTCCTAAATGTAGCCGTCTCTTCTACTCTGATAGCTTCATGTCTCGCACCTCTCGCCTGTGGAACTCCCTTCCCTTCTCCTGTTTCCCTGTGAGCTATAATCTCCAGCTATTCAAGTGTAATGTCAATCGACATCTCCAGTTGCCTTGATCTATCCACTACCCTCATCCTTTCTTCTATCACTCCTATCTGATCTTGCTCTAAATTTTCTGTAACCCCTTGTGCCCTAGTGGCATCCCGCCTTGCTTGGGGTGAAATGCTTAAAAAAAAAAAAAAAAAAATATCGGGGTATTTGTAGTGCCGTGTCGCACATGGGTAAGTGTGTTTGCATGTATTTCCGGTAGGCAACCCTGAGGCCATATTATGTTTTAGTCTTAGCCACCTTCTTGCCAGTTTGTTATATCCATAGATGATAGTGATAATTATTTTGACCTTTTTCTTCTTAAAACAAAGTTTTATGACATATACAGTGAAAAGAAATACGTGTAAACCAGTTAACACAAAATCACCTATACCTTTTCTTTCTTTAATATTCGTGACATTCATTCCAATTTCTGTAGTGTATAATATTACGTTGTCCCAAAAGTTCGTAAACACTTGCGAAAAATTGAATTTTTATGCAATTTTTAATTGTTTTTTACTTTATTGTTAATTTTGAAAAAAAATTATTTCATTAAAATTTTTATTTAATTGGTTTTTGCGTGTATATTGTTATAGTGATCTTCATCTTTGTATTCCAGATGGCAATTGATAAAATTGAGCTGCGAGTTTTGATTCGTTACTGCTGGAAGCGAGGTCTTTCAACCAGAAAAGCTGCAGAAGAGATTTGTGCTACCGAAGGTGAAGGAACAATTGCATATGCGGCGATCTCAAAGTGGTATAAGCGTTTCGATTCTGGCGACATGAGTCTTGAAGATAAGCCTCGTTCGGGACGGCCGTTAAAGTTGGATGATGGAGACTTGCAAACCGGGTTGGATATTGCGCCTTCATCGAGCACTCGAGAATTGGCTGATGAGCTTGGAGTTGGCAAATCGACAATTCACCGACACTTGAAGCAACTTGATTTTGTTCACAAAAAGTCGCGCCAAGATCCGCACGAACTCACCGAATCACAAGCCAAGAGACAAGTTGAAATTTGCCGACAATTGCTCAGCAATCCATTGGACGGGCGTTTTTGGAAGCACATAATGACATCGGACGAGAAATGGGTCTATCTGGTCCAGCACAATTGAGACAAGCGATGGGTTCAGAAAGGGCAAGAGACACCGTCGGTTCCAAAACAAGATCGATTCGGCAAGAAAGTCATGTTGTGCGTTTGGTGAAACTTTGAAGAAATCGTGCATTTTGAGTTGGTTCCGAATGGTCGTGCCATCAGTGCCGAACTTTAATGTCAGCAACTGGAGCGGGTTTACGAAAAGTTGAAGCAAAAGTACCCGGCTCTGATCAACCGAAAGCGCGCTTTGATGCAGCAGGACAATGCCAAGCCACACACCGCCAGGAAGACCAAAGACAAGTTTGAAGAGCTGGACGGCGTTGAGGTTCTGCCACATCCAGCCTACAGTCCTGACTGTGCTCCCTCAGATTACGGCCTTTCCCGCTCAATGCAACACTTTCTGAAGGGCCGCCGATTCGACTCGTTTGATGAAGTCGAGGAAGCGTGTCAAGAATTCTTTGATTCGAAGCCGGCAGAATGGTACTTTCACCAGATCCGAAAGCTTGCAGATCGATGGCAGAAAGTCTTGGAAAATGATGGTCTTTATTTTGAGGAATAATTTTTGTTGTTTTTGTTATTACTTGGTGAGTAAAATTTCAGTTTTTTGCAAGTGTTTACGAACTTTTGGGACAACCTAATATTTTCGCGTGAAACAGTCTCCAGATATCTTCGTACTTTGTGAAATTTCTATTTATACCAATGAATTCTCTGTTCTAGTCTATCTTCCTCTTTGCCGAAAAGATTATGGTATACATACGCATGGCTTCGGTGTTTATATTCGGGAAAATAAAGGAATTATCTCTTGAGTTCCTAGATGATTTTTTTATGTGCCTTTGACTTTCGTTATTGTACTCAGTTAACTATATTTTTTCCTTTATCGCCCTCCTTCTCAGGACTGTAATATATTAAGCAAAATTTCTGATGATATAGAAATTGCTCTCGTTCTACATTTAATGCTCACCATGTCACGTGGCTTAAGCATTCTAATGTTAGTGATGTTGCCGGTATTCAGACTTTCAATTTTTCCGTTGTAGCTTCTCAGTTAAATAGTGGATTTCCCTATTCGCTTACATAATAAACCTGATCAACATTCTTCTTTATTTGATTTGTTTTTTTTTTTACCTTCTTTCTTATTTCTTAGCATGAGAACTCTGTTATCTTGGAAATTCGGATCATGCTGTAGTATCTATTGATATTTCTTTTGAGTTTTCTATTATAATGGAACCCCCTATTTATAAAACCTCTTTCTGAGATTATCGTACTGATTAGAATTCATTTCGTGGCGCCCTTTTAATTGATATTCCTACTCTTCCTATTGACAATTGTGCCATAGAGGTTTCTTCTAGGGTTAAAGCTGGCATTGATGGTTTTATACCTTCTCACAAATACCAGATGAAGCCACAATGTTCTCCTTGATTCACGCCGGTATGTTCAGTCATTATAGTTTACAGAAATCACTTTTTCCGAGTGTACTATCGTGATAATTCCGACCACAACAGACGCTTATTTGTGTCTGCTCGAAATAATTGTAAACGTGTACTCAAAGAGGCTAAGTCTTTATTGTCTCTAATAAGTTTGGTTTACGTGATTACTGGCGGCTTTGTAACAGTGTGTTAAATAAGAGTAAGTCTTCTATTCCACCTCCTTTCACTTAATTTGAGGTGTTAATATCTTCTGCTGATAATTTTCATGAATGACTTTCCTGGTGTAATCATTTCTCAACTCAGTAACTATGCTGATGATGACACTGTAGAGGACCGTGTCGGCGATGATGAGTATATAAAACACACGTGGGTTAAAATTTTCCTGCTAGCCGGTCCAACTACATGAGAAAGTTGAACTTTAATTAAGTCCAAAGAAGACGAGGAAAAACAAACACAAGACCGATAAATATATGTAAACAAATATATGTATTGATAACAAGAAAGGTTACAAGTTACATGGACAGTCACATGGACAGAGTGCGTGTGGTGAATATTATGTGTGTGTGTTGTGGTGAGTGTTCGTACGTACGTTGATTGTTCTTAGCGTGTTCCCAGCATTTGGGAAACGCTGTCTCTGTGAGCATTCACATCTGCGAAGTGGTAAGGCTAAAAGCCAAGGAAAAAGAGGAAGAGGCGAAGGATCAGCGAGTATTTATAGACAGGGGAGAGAGACCCCCTGGTGAAAGGGTTAAGGAGCTAAGGAGGACCTAACTTCAATAACACAACTATTTACTCCTGTCTTAATAGTAAGTCTGATCTGTTTGATAAAGTCAAATTGGCAGCTGATCTAAAAAATGACATACAAACTGTTGTTAAATGCTCACCATGTTAATTTTAAAGCCTCCAAAAGCAAATTGTTCCCTTTTAATCGTCTGAGTTAACCCTTTTTACCTTCTATCAGCATGGCTCTCCAGGAGAGTGACTCATTTCGTCATCTTGGACTAACGTTTTCTGCTGATATAGAGTGGAAAAAGTTCATTAAATCAATTTACAAGTCTGTTGTTAGGAAATTTAGTTCACTGTGTCGTGCTAGACAATTTTTCTCGCCAGAATCTATCTTACATAATTATAAGTCTACCATTCGTCCTTGCTTTGAATATTGCTGCCACATATAATCTGCTGCTCCTGCTATATATTTTAGATTCTTGATAAAATCCAAAGTAGACCTAGCGTCCTTTCCTTCTGTCTTTTCTATAGATATTTTTATGGTAATTGTCCTGATGAATTTTCCTCTATGGTACATAGACTATAAATTTATGCCCAGTACTCGATTGCCAGTAAGGTCTCATAATTTTACAGGTGAAATGGCTAGATGTAACCGTTATGTTTCTTATGGAACTCTCTTTTAGCTTCTTGCTTCCTAGTCAATTTTGATCTTCAAAAATTTAAATGCAATGACGATCGTTATTTTCTGTCTCCTTAATTCATTTTTCTTTTATTGTCCTCTCACCATAATAGTATATTTCTCATATTCTCTGACACTCAGTAACCCTTTGCATCTTTATTGCCTTTCGTGCGGTGAAATGATTAAAAAAAAATCAAATGAAAAATTTGTCCAGAAATACTATAACACATCAATTTGTGAAGAAGTCCAGCATGTCAAAGGCTTTAAAATATCTAAAGCAAAGCGCGAGCTTCCTCATTCTTATCTAAATCTAACGAACCACGTCAGCAATAACCGTTAACAAATCAACAGTTGACCTAGGGAAGCGTGAGCAATATTGTTTGGAAAAAAAAAAAACAAAAAAAAAAAAAATCACTACGCGATGAGATGCTTAACCAGTTCAGCATTGATTAGAGCAGCTAGTAGTAATAGCTCGATAAAAGGATCAGGCGGTTCAATTGAGTTCTTAAAAACGGAACTACAGAAGTGGATTTCCAACAAAGATGAAAGCAAGAAGCAGCAAAACAAGTATTGTAGAGTTTAGAGAGAATAGAAGCCGTTTCAGAAACACATTCTTAAGGATTATTGCAAGAATAGCATCAACTCTTCATTACTTGTGGAGATCCATTTTAAAGATGATAGAAGAAACTACACACAGATTTATTATATGCAAATCACACAATACAGATTCAGTTTTAATTGGAATTCATGCAAAGATACTTCATATGAGTCAAGAGTAAATTGAATGAAGAGAGGAGAGATAGAGGATTTACTCTTATGTAACACGTTATTATAGAGCCTCCAGTCGTCACGATAACCAAACTTGTTAGAGGCCATACGATGCCACATTCTGTCAGTGAACAAAGTCTCGTTGAGGACTCGTTTGTAATTATTCTGTTGTGATCAGAATTATGGCATTGGTACAGCCGGAAAAAAAGTGATTCTTGTGCGATGGATCGATTTTTGTTCGTATAGAAGTGCTCATGAATATTTCACTAACCTGATAAATAAGCACACTATAACAAAAAAAAAAATGAAAAAAGCAATAACAATTTTGCTCTTGTAAATACTTATCACAAAATAAAATCCTCACATTTGCCTTGATAAAGTTTCTCAGCTAATACACGGCATCACTTTGTCTCCCTCTATATATATATATATATATATATATATATATATATATATATATATATATGTATGTATGTGCGGTAGTATCGTTGACATTGAGATACTGTTCAATCCCATAAAGAAATATAATAAAATCAGATTTTTAAAAAGTGACGATGAGATGCTTAAGTCATTGATAGTGAATTCTTTACTTACATATGCTAAACTGTAGGTTATCAAAATGTAAGAAAACTTACTGCCAGAGACATAATCCGGAGATTTGGCAAGGCAAGCGCTATGGCCTTTAATTCCCTGAAACATTATGGGACAATCTAAAGCCTGAAAAGATACAAATATGATAGATTTGACATTTTTACTTAAGCAAAATTTAACATTCTAGTATAACGTATTCCATTTATAAACGCCTTTCCAGTTATAATTTCATAACAAATTTCAATTTACATACTAATAAAACAGAATAAATCATAAAATTATACATACTTCTATAAATTTATATGCACTCACCGTTCACTTCTAGTATTTGGTTGGACCCCATTTTGTTTTGAGAACTTGCTCAGTTTTTGGCATGAATTCAATGATGTTCTGGAAGCATACTTTCGAAATTTAGGTCTATGCTCTTATTCATCCCGCAATTCTTCTGGATTGGTTGGGTAGATTTTTCAGGATTCGAATCTCCCTTTCCACCACATCACAAAGGATTGAAATTTGGTGACTATGGAGGCCAACTTAAACACAGAAAATTCATTGCTTTGTCCCATAAATCAATCTGCCTCTATTTTTTATTTGTGACGTGGTGCGTTGTCCTTCTGGAAATGGCCACCAGAGGATAGGTCCACTGTAGTCGCAAACTGAGGCACGGGTTCAGCAGCAATACCTAACCGGCTGTGGCATATAAACGATTTTTTTTTTTAGTAACAAATGCTCCAATGTATGCTAAGAAAATATTCCCCATACCATTCTACCACTAGCCCGAACCACTTATATAAGACAGGATGAATCCATATTTTCATATTTTTACGCCAAATTCTGGCACTATCATCTGAATGTCGCAGTTGAAGTTGACTCATTAGATCAGTCAACGTTCTTTTAATGTTCAATTGTCCAATTTTTGTTATCCTTAGCGAGTTTTAGCTTAGCTTTCTTGTTATTATCCTATATGAGTGACACCGGGCGTGGTTCTCTGATGTTGTAGTCCATCTGCTTAAAGTTCTGTATACCTCCGCTGTAAAGAGTGGTTATTTGAGTTACTATTGACTTTCTATTAGTTTGACAAAGGATTTCCGCTCACAGAATTACTGATCATTGGATTTTTTTCTTTTTCTACCTATTCAATACCAAGTGATCATGTCACTTAAATACCTTTATATCCCATAATAATGCATGAAATGAGATTCAGTAGGTCGCTATGCTTGTTTAAATGCCTATAGCCATTGGCTAATTAGACATTTGCATAATTTTTTTTTGTTCACGTGTACTTAATTAATTAAATATGAAGTGGGTTTTTAAAAATTCGATTTTTGTAAAACTGAAAACAAGCCAGTGCGCTTGAAATTATTGGAGAAAGGTTATTATACTGTGACACCCACCGGTGGTCGCGGTCGCAGCGCCAGCGCCAATATGTGACGTCCACTGGTCCCAGTTGCGACACGAAGCTGTAATGTTTCTTCCACCAGCGTTTGGGGTTGACTCGTCGCTGCCACCAGCCTGTGTCCCGGTCAATCTGGTCGTTCCCGGTTCGATACCAACTTTGTCGTTCTCAGCTCGCCTCCAACGCTTGGTCACCGAAGTAACTGCTTTGATCTCAAGTCTAACCTACCCACGTTGTGACTTTAATCTTAGGTAGACGAAATCAATCAGGCGTCGGGCCGTAGTGCAAGCTGAATCCGGGGTAAAGGTGATACCGCACAAGCGTAAGTAAAAGAAAAATAATAAAACAAACTCACTAAGTTCAAATATGTTGAGAAATAATAATTAACTTTATCTATCTGTTGAATACAGGAGTGTGTTTCTCTCCCGACCCGTTTCTATGGATTCGTGACAATTTTTGCGTTTCTTAAGCAAGTTATGGTATCTTAAGTCGTTCGTCAATAAAAACTTGCTTTTGGTAGGAAGACGAAGTCAAAAAGAATGTGGAGATCTTTCGGTCAGTTCCTGCGAGGCTGGTCTTCAACTGCAACTCCGAACTCTCTTGAAACTCTGCCGAAAAAACTCTCTGACTGCCTCGAGACGGTCGTTTATATGGACACCGACCAACTCCGGGGTGGGGCCTGTCGTGGTTTGGGTTCTTTGACAATTCTTAATTACCAACAAAAATTCTCTTTGTTCTTGGGCCAGGAAAATTAGTTACTTCCCATTTTGGAAGATAATCACTTTCCACTTCGGCGTTCCTCCCTGGTCCGCGAGGGAAAGTCGGAGGAGAGTTATCCTCCTAGACTCTTCCTCTCTCACATTGGTATCTCATACCAATCCCCTCAATGGGTGTTAACAACTTCTCCGTCTTTCTCATACATTCACCTCCGCCTATTACCCATGCTACTTCTTAGCCAATTATCTCTCGGCAGTGTGGGTGTGGTTAGACTGGCCCTAGTGTTTACAAAATCCTTTTTTTTTTCCTTTTCCTTCTGCCAAAACATCTACAATTCCCAAATTGCGAATAATTCTTTATCACATCGTAATGTCCGGACCTCTATCGATTCATTAATCACTGTCAAAAAAACCGACATCTGGGTTCTCCGCTGGTCAATCCTTCAACTGGGTGGCCGTGCCCACTCGACAATTAAATTCTTTATTTTTCTCATGTCTTAAAATTCTCTTATCACCAGATGCTCATTTTCGAATCAATAGTTTGAATAAGCAATAATAATGATCCCCTTTTCGACTCTCTTTTTTTTCATGTCGAGATTTGTACATAGACCAGATTGCTTCCCTCGCTGGAAATGATAGCTATTCTCTAGGATGGTCTCAAGCTGAAATTTTTTCATGGCCGATTTTCATGACAAGATTTCACTTAACTTTTTCAAATTGATTTCAGCATGTTTATTTAAACATACCATGTAAGTCAATATTTCTTTCTTTTTTGCATTAAAATCAAATTTCCAAACAGATAAAGTTGGGCATTTAATAACTTTTAGGAATATAACATGGACTGATATAATTCTGAATTTTCTAGTTTAAAACCTAATTATTAAATATCATACACACTGGCGAGTGCTATTTAACTTAGAAGAAAATGTGATCGGTACTTACGCTGGATACTGTCATGCAAATTATCAGAAAAACTGCAAAGAAAAAAAAAGGATAATTCGAGGCATCAACAGCTAATAATTGATCCTAACGAGAAAATATGCTGCATTGTTTAAAAAAATCTTATAACGTACTTACCAAATACAGTATCAACTCTACTAACGAATTTTTACGAATTCTTCACTCCAACAAGCTTCAGGACGAAATCTTAGCATCCTTAGACGTTTAAAATGTGATCACTAACGTTCATGAAACATTTGATATATACAATAAATAAATAATATTTTTGAACATAATTATTTACCAAACCTGAAAATTAACTCCAGAATATTAAAAATAGGTTTTACTAGTCTCCACAACACAAATCCCTTTCTGCGACCATTTTGGTAATATTTATACCCAGACTGATGACGTCGCTATAGGAAGCACTCTCAGTTCTTTATTTTCAAGCTTTTTGTTATATAGAAAAAATATTTAATAAAATTAATAAAACCAACATTTATGCCAGATATTTTGATGAAATTTTATCCAAAACAAATCCGTCAGTGGTAATTTTCTAATCGTAGCTTAGTTGTGATACAAGACCGAAAGTATGGGGCATCTAATGAGGGTCAAACTCACTATTCAGTTGTAATTGATTTAGCAAGACAAGCGTGCTAATTGTTCCACTGGGCTTAGGATGGAAAGAGATAATATATGAGGCTGGCCACTGAAAAGTCAAAGCAACACAAAGACTACACGGCACACGGTAAACTTAGCAATGTATTTTATTTAAATAAAATACATTGCTAAGTTTACCGTGTGCTGGAACTGTCTTGATCCCAAGATTCCATAGTGAGACCAGAAGTTCTTACAATAATCATCATCATCATCATCATTAATGATGTTATAACAGTCCCCACTCCTAAAGTAGTTTATTTATTTATAACTTTTCCAAATTATAAATTACAAATCAAAGTTTGATTTGGTTACGGTCCAAGGGTGATAACTCAGTCACTTTGTGTCATCAGATATTTGTATTTTTTCAGAATTTGTATTTTTTGTCCTCGACTTATTTTTACAGTACTTTCTCTTGTATTATTATTTGTTTGAAGATCTTTGTAATGATTACTAATTGGTTTATTTCTCAAAAGTCTATTTTCAAAACCTGAAAATAAAATATATTTTCTATTTCTTCAGAAATCCCCTTGATTCGTTGTCATAATATACAACCTGTTGTCAGTATCTACTGACTTGGTCATTCCTTCAGTGTTCCAATATTTCTCTTTATATAATTTTATTCTATTTCCTCTTTTTAGAGATGGTAATTTTTTGGCATCATGGGATCTGTTGAAATTCTTTTCCATTCTGTTTTTTTGCCAATTTGTTTCTCTCCCTGATGTGTGTGAAATCGGGCCATTTTAGTAATAACTTTTTGGGATGTAAAGGTAATGTAGTTCTTATTTTCCTTCCCGGTGGTTTGAATTGGCGTACTCCGGTATGCCATTAATGCATGAAATGTGTCTGATTGCCCCAAAATTAAATTTTAACAGCGTTTTCCGTTTCTCCATTTGCTTGAGGATAATGTGGACTTGATGTGTTGTGTTTAAATCCATAACTGTCGGCAAAATCTTTGAAAGTGTAACTTGAGAATTGTTTCACATTATCACTGACAAGTTCAATAGGAATTCCCTAATGTAAGAAGAAATTTTTCAACTCCCCTCTCACAAATTCGCTTGTCATTGGATTAAGCTTTGCTATTTCTATATATCTTGAGAAATAATATATTGTGGCAATATACTGCTGTCCTTGGTGAGTGAAAATGTCTGTACCAATTATTTGCCATGGACCTTGAGGGAGTGGTGTTACTTTTATTCTTTCTTTTTTATTTGTTGAACAAAACGACCATTTTTAGATACTCCTCCAGCTCTTGAAATATGGACACTACACCGATTCTTTGGCTCTCTCTCGGCATTTGTTTAATCCTCACTAACCATTATGATGTCTCTTTAATATTTCTGGTCTAAGTTTGTTAGATATGACAATTCTATCCAGAAACCATAGTAAATTGTCATTTCAACTTCGAAAATTATGCCTTCTATTATTCTCCCTTCTTTGTGTGTCCATCCATTTAGTGTGAGATGTATTATTTCCTGTAATACAGTGTCTTATTGAGTGGCTATTTGCATTTCAATTAATTTCTTATTTGATGCTGGTCTGGTTCTTGCCACGTAATCTGTGTATATGCCTGCATCTTTGATGGTATTACTATTAGTCTCGGTTAAAGTACTTCTTGATAGCGTATCAGGTAAAAATAGTGACTTCCCTAGAACGTGTTCTGCTACTGGGTTATATCTTCTCAGTCTCATCAGAAGTCTTTGACATCGTAATGAGGTATTGTACAGATTATGTATGTTTATTAACGGTATAAGTGGTTTATGGTCCGTGAACAGTTTAAATGATTCAAGTCCAGTGACATATCTGTCAAACTTCTCACATACCCATACACAGCTCAAACACTCTTTCTCAATTTGTGCAGATTTCCTCTCAGTGCTATTGAGTGTCCGTGAGGCAAATGCTATTATTACTATTAGTGCCCATTTTCAATAATTCGGTCATTGGTTATATTGTTTCAGACAAATTTGGTAAGAATTTTCCAAAGTATGACCACGTCGATTATACAATATATACGATATATATTTGTAGGTGCAGGCAACTCCTGAAAGACGTTTAGTCTTTCCTTGCTCAGTTGAATTCCATCTCCAGAAATTATGTGTCCAAAATATTCTAGTCGTGTCTATTTGAATTCACACTTTTCTTGAGTCCGGCTTTTTGTCCGCGTCGATCCTCTCTCTTCTTAAGCGCCGACGCGCTCTTTACACAAGTACAAACATCCGGGGATCGACTGGACCTCAAACCTCACTGTTCTATTCGGCCTACCTCCGAGCTGTCGCTTTGAAACCTGACAACGCTCCTTCAACTGACGCTCTCTAACTTCACGACCGAACTCCAGCAAACAATTATCTGTACATACTTTTGCCAGATTATTAAATAAAATTTGGCTTAAACTTTTACATCATCGCCTTTGTTGTCCTTGCTTCGATCGTATTACCCTACATTATTTTTCTGCTTGCGGGGTTAACAGGCACCTGCTTAACGCCGCAACAACACACTCAGTGCATTAGTTGCTCACCGTAATGATTATAATTTCAATTTTAAAAAATGCTATTTTCATTGATGGAGTAAGCAATTTATTAAGATGAAGGTGTATAGAAAATGTTTTAATCACTAGTTCATCCACAGCAAATTTACATTCATGTTCTTACAAAATTTCGTCATTCTTGGCAGATTTTCTATTAAGTAGTTAAAAACAAAAGCAATAAAACAAAAGAAAAAGAAACTAAATGCAATTGGCAAGACTATTGATATCCCCTCTCTTTTGTACACATGTGTAGTTACATCAATATAAACATCACTTTAGTCCGGTAATCCGACGAAATCATAAAGGACGAAACACGTCACACAGACTTTTTTACTTTCTCATTGATTTCTAAGACAAGGTATTGCAATAATTTACGTCTTTATTGTCATGTTCCCGACGTTTCAGCCGTTGTACACTCCGGCCTTCTTTAGGTGATTGGAATTTCGAACTCTTTATTTCATCTCGCGGTTCTACGTGTCATGTCTATTTCGGATGTCTCAGTTATCTCCCTTTAAATCAACTCTCCAATTTTTTGTTCACCACTACTGTAGCCAGGTATTGAATTCACAATTCAATGTCAAGTCACTGGATCCAACCAACGCTTTTATCCACTGGGCCACGTATACTTCACGAAAAATCGTGAACATGACAATAAAGATAAAGACAACAGCCCTAAAAATGTAAATTTTTCTCTGATTTTTGTAATATATACACTTCAGGCAAAAAGTTTGGTTACACCCTGCATTTCTTTAAAAACACCTTAAATTGAGATATTTTGTATTTTATTTAAATCAAAAGACAAAATTTCAGTAACTACAGTGTATTTGCGTTTATTCTGACAAAAATAAGCACATAACTATAAAATATTATTCACAATAGCATCATATTTTGCTTTCGTCAATAAAACCACCACCTGCATTAATTACTGTTTATAAATTTTTGGCATTCTTTCCAACAGTTTTTGAAAAAAGTTGCTGCCAGACCTTCCTAAGCTTTCTTCACGCACCGAAAAAGCTCATTCTCACTTTTTGGATATTCTCTTCGAATTCTGCTATCCAATTCATTTCATATTGATTCAGGGGAGAGAGGTCAAGAGATTGGGGTGGCCAAGTCATAATTTCTAAAATTTTGTTCCTTTTTTGACTCGAGGTAATTTTGACATAATTTCATCTTGTTGAAATGTGGTTTTTCCAATTATGTGTAAACCAGATGGTATAGCATGTCTTTGTAAAACTGAAAGATACTGTTTATTTTTTATGATTCCCTTGACAGCACTCTCTCCTTCAAAATATCCCATACCATAACAGAACCACCATCATACTTAAATGTTGGAACCACACATTCATCATTCAGTCTTTTTCCTGGTTTTCTTCTCACATACACTCTCCTCTTACGACCAAAAAACGTTCAAATTTGAACTTGTCTGTTCACAATGCATTTTGCTATTCAGTTCTTACGTTTCTTTTGCTCATATCAATCTTTTCTGCTTATTCACCTTCCGTAACAGGGGTTTCTTGGTGGCTATTCACCCACCTGAGCCCTAATGATCTGAATCAATTTTTCACTGTTGACACCAACACTGATTGCCAACTATGGAGCAGTTTTCCTTCTATTTATTTTTCTATCAATAATCAAGTATTTATATTTAGCAGCAGTTGTCACTTTTGGTGCTCCAGATTTTTTCTGTCAGAATATTGCACTTCATGTCTAGAAATCTTCAACTTCTTGGCAATTTGTCATTGTGGGTAGCCTTTTTTAGTAAAATTTAAGTTTGTGTTTTCAGATCAATGCTTAACTTCTTTGATTTTGGTACTTTGTGCAAATTACTTCAAAATTTAAAAAAAATACATCTAA